ATATAAATAAATATAAAATAAATGTCATTTATTTTATACTAATTTTATTTCAGCTACATTTCTCATTTTTGTAGCTTAAATCAACTTAGTATAAAATAAATTAAATTTAAAATGAAAATCATACACACACAATTAATGTATAATTTAAGTATAATTCGTTTCACTCGGATATGTCACAAAATAGAAGAAAAGATCTTTCGCTGTTGTTTGTCTTCTCTAAGTAATTTTCGAGCTTAACGACCACAGATTTATTTAGAAAACTCTGTTTATTTACAAGTATTCAGAACTCAAATTCTACACTATTCAACAGAATTATATCTCCTTCAAAAGTTGCATTCGTTTGGATGTCGTGCTCTTTCGTGGAGTCGTGACACACGTGACCAGCCATCTCTGTGAGCTTCTGCTCTCTGACTTTTCGTCTGTTTTCTGCTCCAGCTGGTGAAAACAGTGCATCTTAGTAAACTGATGATTGCCTGAGTAAACAGCACTGAAATGTGTAAAAGCTGAAGAAAGCAGAGAGCTGAATAAACCTCACGGGAAGACATTTGTCCTCTTTTATTCCTCCACAACAGGCTCCTGTGCTCTCTGACCCTGTGACCTTTGACACAGAGATGGAAACTTGACCCTCAACATCATCAGCGCAGAGGTCAGAGGTTGTGAAATCAGCATATTAGAGTGATTTCTGAAGATCATGTGACACTGAAGACTGGAGGAATGATGCTGAAAATACAGCTGCGCATCACAGAAATACATTACAGTTTAACAGATACTCACATAGAAAAATATTTCACAATATTACTGCTTTTGCTGTATTTCTGATCTTATCTCATTGATCTGAGCTTATGCACCTCAGTTTTTAAGTGAAAAAGGCATTATTTGTGGATAATTTTAGCAATGTTCACTAAAAACTGAGACTTCAATGATGCCTATGATCAATTAGTTTCTAAAAAGAAAAACAAAACCTGTGCTAACTGAAAGAAAAAAAGCAAATAAAAGATTTATAAGCACGTTTCCGAAGGCCAGTCATTTTTAACCGGTGTAACAAGGTGAGAAAAAAAATCCCAAAAGGGTTAAAAAGTTATCTGTTTTTTGGGAAGTTTTTAAAAAACCCTGCGCAAGAAAAAGTCAAAATGTTAAGTTGCATTTTCGGAGCCAAGAAAAAGCAGTGTGTGTCAAGTACAAGACCTGAACACCTGCCATGATCAGACAGATCCTGCATGAATGAATGAAATGTGCCTCATGTGAAACACTGATTATAACACAGATTTAAATTTTTTTTAATTTAATTTAAACATTTCAGTTCATTAAAATAAATAGTCAAAATTAACTATACCGAAAAAGAGCAGAAATAAAACAGTGCAATGCAATTAAATGCAACATTGTTTCTGTTCAGATAAAGAACATGAAAAGCAATAATATACTGAGAAAGTGACATTCATCTGCTTGTGATTGGACGAGCTCCGCGTCAATCATCGACAGGGGGCGTGGCTTTGAGGTCTCTCTCTCTGTAACGCGTGTCTGCGACTCAGTTTGAGTGTCAGTGCTTCAGTGGCGGACAGAATCATCATCATCATCATCATCATCATCATCCTCACTGTAACAGCTTTACGAGCACATTTCACTCACTGGAAACCTGTGTCATTCCCAGCGAGGATCGTAAAGCTGAAAGTCTGTGGGAAGTTTGTTGAGCACTGTAGTCTCGTTTTGGATTTATTTGGGTCTGCGAGCTCGTGTTGGAGACTCTGTGAACTTCATCAAAGCGCGTCACGATGTGTCGCCAGAGTTTGCTGTGGCTTCTCGGTGTGCTGGGCTTCTGCGCTCGGGCGCTCGGGGCTCGGGAATGCGTACCGTGCGCGCTGCGCTCCTGCCCGCTCGTCGGCGCGCTCGGGTGCGGTTCGGCCCGGGTTCTGGCCCGTGACCCGTGCGGCTGCTGCGAGCGGTGCTCTCGGCTGGAGCTGGAGCTGTGCGGCGGGCCGGACTGGACTCTGGGCTACTGCGGATCCGGCCTCACCTGCGCGGCGCTCAACGGAACCGGACCGGCGCGCATACCTGAGACGGGTGTCTGCAGAGGTCAGTGACGGGCGTGAGCTTCAGCTCGAGTTCATGACACTGAAAGCATGTTTATAAAGCATGTAAGACCACCCATGGCGAGGGTCTTTTGCAGTGTTTGGAAATGTTTCTCTAGTTTGGCTTCTTGCGCATCGCCTCGTGATTGATTGAGGTGGTCGATTGATTCTGTACTGAGTTGGTTACTGTGACAGTACCATGGTTAAGCAATATGTACCATGATATTGATTGATATGTACTATAGCAAATGGTACTCCAAGAATACCATGGTATTGCCATAGTTACTTGTCCAAAATACTTTAGTATTGCCATGGTACATGTCCAAAAAAAAAACATGGTATTTGCCATAGTGTGTCCGAAATACTATAGTATGGCGATGGTACATGTCTAAAAACATGGTATTGCCATAGTTCCTTGTTCAAAATACTATAGTATCACCATGGTACACATCCTTGGTATTTGCCATAGAATGTCCAAAATACTATAGTATTGCCATTATATATATCTGGCCTAATGGTTAGAGAGTCGGACTCATAACCCTAAGGTTGTGGGTTCGAGTCTCGTACCGGTAGGGATTGCAGGTGGGGGGAGTGAATGTACAGCGCTCTCTTCCACCTTCAATACCACGACTGAGGTGCCCTTGAGCAAGGCACCGAACCCCCAACTGCTCCCCGGGCACTGCAGCATAGAATGACTTCCCACTGCTCTGGGTGTGTGTTCACGGTGTGTGTGTGTGT